GCCGCCTCTACCTCGTTTGATTCAATTAATAACAAAGTTGCCCAATTATCTACACGCTGTGCTTTAAAGTCTGCGTACGTATGATTCAAGTTAGGAAAACTTGTCAAGCTATTTTGGATATTTTGCTAAACACACACCTCCCATTTGAACCATGAGAATTTCTCCTTTGTTTCTACAGTGCTTCAAAATGAGAAATATTTCTGTAAAATGGCTTGTACTGTATGTCAAAACACAAGCTGCATGTGTGGACCTTTGACTTAATGTGATAAAATAGCTGGTACATCTCAGTTGTCTGCAATTGATCTCCGTGGGGAGTTCTTCTACAGGTGTTTACATCTGGTTACTTCCTGCTGTGGTCGTTCTGTGCGGGAGTCCACACAGAGCATTTAACGTCACACCTACGAAATGAGGCCACATGAGACAAAGACTTATGGAACACACGACCCTTTGCCCTTTTCCTTCATGAAGGAAGTTCACGATCTGAGTTTCGTGCTGGTTATGAGAAAAACTCAACCTCTCCAGAATCAGACAGGAAAGTCTGGTCCAATATAGTTTGATGTCTCAGCCCGGTAATGACTCTGAAAATAAGATGCCTGGCGCTTGTTTGTAGTCCAAATTGGGTCAGAACCTTAGAGCCTGGGTTTGAGGAACCAGGGCTTGTCATTAACTTGCTCAGATTGCTGGTTTGATGGGAACTGACACATTTGGTAACATTAACATTAATTTAACTTGGCTTTATATCAGATCGAACATTTTACCTTTCTAGTAGGTAACTCTAGGACTGAATTCAGTCTTTGTTTCCAGGTCTTTTCAGTTGCTTTATAGGGACCACAAAATAAGATCTGTTACTCGCTTTTAAAAAGGATGAAAACCTTTTAGTGTGACAGACGCGGTCATGTCTGCACTTTCTAAGCATCTTAGTGATGAAGAGCTTCCTAAAACACCAAAGAGAAAATTCACACCCTCTTCTCTGTCACCGAAAAGTGTTACAAATGTGTCAGAAACATCTAACAGATGACAAAGCAGATGGGGCACTTAATAATACAATGAGAATAATGGTAAACAGTGAGGAAGCAGAGAGAAAGCAGAGCCCCTGTTATGATGTGCATTCGAGAAATGTTGGCAGATTTGCCTGAACTCCGCCCTCAGCGGTTCACTGGACATCAAAGAATGGCTTCTTAAAAGCTGTGGGAATCTAGTATTCACAGACTCACGCTTAAAAAACAAGACTTTTTTTTTTATGGAGAAATTAATACATATATGGAAAAGGTTCAGTTCTGTGCAGTCAAATGTTATTTTTGAAAACATTAATAATATTTTAAGGAATCACTACCTTGAGCATGACTATTGTTTCTCGATAGTCATACACCTTAATTTCGGTGCAAACTTTACATCCTCTGTAAGTGTAAATCTCCCAAAATCTGATATCTAGGCACGTATTGTCCCAAGGAGAGTTGCTACGATTCAAATGTGTTAGCTAAATAATGATTTATCAGTGAGAGTACAGAACAGAGTAGAGAGCCACCAGGGATAGGGTCAGTTTGCTGATATTGACACATTTTTGTCATGAGTAACTATAATAAACAATCGTTTGTTTAATCTTTGTTAATAATCCGGTATTTCTTCTTTGAATATAAGCACGTAGAGCTATCACTAAATAACATTTCTGATTTATTTTTCATATCATAATACATAACAAGTGCCATCTAGTTGATGACTTGGCTGGAAAATGGAAACGTAAAAAAACAGTAACAGACGAATCCTTATCCTATCCACTTATTTCAAAACCATGCCAATGTTTCTGCTATGGAATCACTGAAAAAGTACAGTTTGCTTCTGGAACACTGCGTGCATTGTAGGATTGTCTCCTCTATGGAGTTGATTCAGGGTGGTTCGGGAGCAGTTGCCTCCACGGCTCGCTCTTCTCACAAAAGGAAATAGCTGAGAAGTCAACTCTCTGCGAAGTTAATGATGCTTGTCTGTTGAATGCCAACAGAGACGTCTGATAACCAGGCAACAAAGACACAAACGGCCTGGCCCGCCATCACAGTGGAACGACTCATTAAATGAGGATCATTGCAAGCCTTTTGTTCAGGATGCCTTCCGAAATGAGTCGTGAATGATGACATGTCTTTTTTATGTGCTTAGGGTCTTTCTCAGAAAATGGTAAATAACTAAGACGTAGTAGGCCCTTTTCTCTTCGATGGAACAATTGTGACTCATTGCTGACAGCTCGTGATATCAATCTCTTTCCTCTCCTTTCCTCCTCTGCTCTGTTTTGTCTCCCGGTCGGACGTAAGGGATGTCCCCGTATGGAAACAACAATCAACCTGTCTCCACTGGTGCTGCCTTTGACCTTTTTCTCTTCTGTAGGGTTAGAGTAACACTGAACCCGCAGTCATGATGGATTTCAGGACGTTTCGAACAGTCCTGGAGCTAATGCGAGCCGATTTGGTGCTACAGCCTTCAGGGACGTGTGGTTTCTGACAGCAGGAATTGTTCAATCTTTCATCCTTATTTCTCTCCCTCAACAATGGTACTGTCACATGCTCAAACATCATTATTTATTTTCGTGTGTTTAGGCCTGGATCTGATTGTCTGGGAGGGGTACGGTTGTCTGTATGAGAGATAGTCGTTATATGGTCAGCTCAAAGCATATGAGAGATGACAGGACTTCTTTTGTTTGACCGTTAGCTTGGGGTTTGTTTAGAACGTCAAATTTGATATATGTATTGAAATACCCACTTGTCATAAAAAGAGGGATGTTTTAAAATGAAAATCCTCTCGAGGAGATGCTTAGAGAAGCAGGTAATAAGGTAACGTGATGGAATGAATGCTATCAACCTTGCACCTGTTCAGGACTGTTTGGGGTGATCTGGGTGGTAAATCTAATTAATTGGATATATTGACAGTTCATTTTTAGCTATCGCACAATTTACAAGCGTGTTAGAGCCCACACCAAGCTCATTACATGATACAAAATGTGTCGCACTAGTTTTTAGTTGTCTCTAAACACTCGAATAAAAGAAGGAGGAAATAGTTGACGGTGCTGTGACGCTGAACAAATCCATTAGAGTCCTGCACAATGTTTCCATTGTTCTTTTCCTCTTGCCTCCCACTTGCAATTACTCGCTTTCCTTCTTATCTACTTTGCTTTCACTCACTAATATTTGGAATTCTACTTCATGAGTCCCGAGCTGTCAGTCATGTCATAATAACACACGACAGCATGAAAACCTAACATTACAGAATCCTCTCACAATTCACTACCAGAGACTGTGGCGCTGGGATGTCTTACATGTCACACCTTTCGTTGCTTTGCTGGCATGAAAACTCTTGAGATGCAGCAAATTTGCAAACAGGACAAACGTTTGTACTATGCGTTTTATGCAAAATCTGCTGTGTAAGCTGTTTTTGGCCTGGCTTCATAAGTGGTTGCAAACCAGAAAGTCATCCTTGGGGAAATGGAAACAAATAAAACCAGCTGCTTTGGTCATATAGGAGGAAAAATGTGATGGACTTCAGGATTGCACACAGGGTGACCTGTTATGTGTAATACAATATGAGTGTCATGTATGGCAAACTCGATCAAATATCTTTTGCCGTTCCCTCCAGCTGCATGTGAGGTCCCCTTTTTATTGCACCATTTGTGTCAACATTTAGACTCCTGCCTCATCTGTTGAAATGTCTCCTCATCAACCTCTACTTTTAATACTCTTAGCTGGACAATGCATGTCTGATTCAGACGCTAATAAGCCCAGTGGACACACTTTACAAGTCACAACTGGCCAGTAATGTTTTATCTAGTTTTATTAAAAAATGTTTCACATTCTGACCTGAGGCCTCAGTGTGTTTGGTTTATATTTTTTCTTCGCTGAAGCGAAGTCCATGAGATTCCTCAGCGGACCGTGATCGGAGCAACATGTCACTAAAAATACATCCTAATAAATATTCGGTACACATGTCAGCCACCTCCATCATGTCTGGGTCTCAGCTGAGTAAGCACAGTATCGAAATCCCATAATCATTTCTGAATGCGCCCAAAAGGCCCTAACAGGCAACTCTGACCCTTTAAACTGCTTGGTCCATATCCAAATCATGTCTCATGTTCCTCATATGCAGCCACGCAGAGGTCAGAGGAGAGAGCAGTACCATGAAATTAATCCGCACTACACGGTTCCACTTTATTAGAGCTGACAGCTTTGTAGAGCTGCACGGGCTCCCAGGAGCCACAGACAATTGATGAGTCAGTATTGCAGGATCCCCGGGTTGTTAAAAAAAATCACACTGGGGGTGTTAACAGTATTTAAATGTGCCTTTCCTCTTTACCTCCAAATGGAAACACAATCAGCCACCAGGTTTCAGTCCTGTGGTTGAAAATGTTAAGTGATCCGTCCTGCCGAATTGATAATGGAGCTTTTCAGAGGATTTTCTGTGCAAAGCAAGACTGGGAAGTTTTCGTTCTCTGTACATGTTTATTTTTGTTAAGGAGGTGTGCTGTCAGGTGTTAAAATCTTTTCCCGTTTTAAAGAAGTTTTAAATGGTGTGTAGCTCAGATTATTCCAACACTTATCGGTGCGGCGTTGCCAGTTTTTGCTGCCATTAGATAGAATAACTGACAGAGAGAAAACCGTTTAAAAGCTGCACAGGTGGCTTTTTATGTTGAGCTTCTGAAACATATCTGTCAGGGTGAATGTGCTATATTAGCAAATGGGAACCACTTGGAATAATTTTCCTAAATGTGAAAAGACTGGACTCAGAAGAAAAAAGGGTGCAAAGGGCAAGTATCAGAAGGTATCTGATAACTTCTGAATGTTGAATGTTGAAATCAGAAAATGCAACCACACTCACATTGACCCCCAGGGTCAATTTGGAGTGTTGAATTGGTCTAACATGCCTGGAAGGTGGGAGGAATTGCTGCACAGACACAGGGAGAACATAAATAAATCAGCAATATACACAAACAAATACTTCATTTTGAGACGACACATGAACTGTAACAGGTTTTTGTTTAATATGACTTTATTGAAAAATGAGCATAGATATCGCAGCTTAAATACTGTCTCTTGGTTTACAGGCAGTGACCATACAGAGTAATACTCTTATACATTTGTCCTATATGCATTATATGTCTGAAGCTGCCTCAAAAGAAAGTTTTGTTAGTCATTTCACATTCTCTTGGAGTCCAGAGGAAAAAAAAACATTTATTTCATTTATCACCATACAGTGTTAACCTTGGAATCATGAATGTAACCTAACCTGTTTGTCTGACCGTTCAGTAAATGCTGCTCAATGTCTGCATGGGATAAGTTTTACTGCAGGCATCACACTTTACGTCTACTCACAGGACTTACTCATTACTACATTCATCTAATTTACATCACATAAATTAAGCAACCTATCTGCTGTTACCATTTCAGTAAACATGTTTCTTGTTAATTCAGTTTAGTTTAATGCTGGGAATCAAGCTACTTGTTTCTTTAATACAACTACAACAATAAACATGGACAGGTTGAACTTCTTTCTAGAAGTCAGTCAATGAATTATCGAGTGTGGTTAATTCTGGAATGAGCCTGCATGATAACCATGTCCAGACTTTACTTTTGCATGTAAGTCTATTAAAAACTCCTTTATCTTATTTAAGCATGTGTTTACGTTAATTAACATAATTACCTAAAACTAATGGTCATTAATTTGTATTACATCTATGAGAAATTAATTACAGGAGTATTGCACCATTAACTTGAAATTGATAAGATCGCTCAGTTATTACAAAACAGGGCAAAACAAAACAAAGACCACAAGAAAATTATCATGACTACCTGTACTTCTATAACAGATTTTGAGGAAAAATTGTATTTGCAGCGCAGAAACAGTTGAGAAAAGTAAGCCTGCTGGAAGCCGGGACGGTCCAGATTGAAAGCACATGCTGGTCGCTCACATCTCAATTGATGTTTTGTTCAGATTTGGCTCAGTGGCTCTTTTGAAACATCATACGTCGAATAAAGTCAGGATGGGAAAAAAAAAGTTGATTGTTCTTGGGAGCGACTGGTTGGATGAATTGTTTTCTTTCTAAATTAATTTACAGATAACAACAACTTTTGTTGTCAATCATCACATCTTGGATTTAACAGAAATGGTTTGATTACGTTAACAAAACACATTATTGGGAGAAAAATGACCTAGGTGAAAAACTACAGTTCACCAAGACAGTTGCGATCATGGTGGTATTTAATTCCTTTGTAAGAGCCAGAAATGGGAGAGCAGGAAATGCATACTTTGAAACACACATGCAGATACAGGATTTGAACTGTGTATGACTGGTAATACTTAGAAATGTAGTTTAACACTGCACATTTTGGAATAGCCTTCATTTAGTAGAGCCTACCTACTAAACATGTATTAAAAAAGCATTTAGTAAGATTATACATACACAAAAATAACAAATACATAAAAACATGATAATAAAGTGGCTCAAATATATAGTCATATAAAATCAAAATAAAAAAAACAACCAAGACTAACTTTCCCTTTACGACGTTTATCATTAGAAATTTCTGAGAATCATATTAGCTTTTCATTCCTGCCAAGGAAAGGTGTTGGTATAAAAATACTGCCATTGTAATCATACTTCTCCGATTTCTCTGAATTGAATGATGTACAACCTTCTTTTCCTAACCACACTTCAACAGAAAGTCACAAATTCTTAGGTGGAAAAATGTCTACTTTTTGTGAATTCCTGAACAAATGAATCACTTTTGTTCCACAAAATTGTCCATCAATTAAAAAGAAATGAACTGTGTCTGTATTTTATTCCTGATTTTCTTGTATTGCCTGAACAGAACCTAACAGTAGCCCTTTAATCACTCAGTGAATGGTTAAGTCAACACGTCCCATCTCATAATCTTGCATAAAATAAACAGTGAAGCACAAATATATGGCTTTGACCATTATCTTGAGTATATAGCACCACAAGACCAGTGCTTGTTTAGAATAAGTTTGCCTGAGCTTCCTCTCTGTTTTGTTTCTGAAGCAAGCTTAAAGGTGATGTCAGACATTGTGGTGGTGTGGGCTCTCCTATTTAAAGCAGAGAGATGGGGAAAGCAACGGGCCAATACCTGACTCTGCCCCACAACCCTTCAGTCATCCATTCACCTCAAATCAGCAGAAGTTTTTGCCTTTGAGTTTGGAAAACTGTGGTCCCAATAGGGCGAAAAGAGAAGAGGGAGGTCGAAGAAGAAATGTGTGGATGTGGTGATGGAGGTGGTTGGCGTGAGGGATGATGAAGGGGGAGATGGGCTTTTTTTTCTGAGCATTAGCATGGGAAAACAGAATCTAATTAGCAGAGTAAGAGCAGAGGTCACATAAAAATGATCTCCTGATTTGATTGATCTTTATTTTCCTTTTGTGTGATATTGAACACATCTTCAGTTTACCGAATTGTAATTGGCGTGGGACCTCGCAACTGTCCAAGCTGCAGTTCCAAAGTTCGTTGGAGTATTTTTTTTCTCAGCCGGCTGCTTGTTTTAAAGTTAATCTGACATGACGTAACGCTAACACAATGCTTTGCATGAGACAGAAACTTCAAACGTTCATTTACGGCTGTGTGAAAAATAAAATCGTTCTATTTACAGGCACCCATCCTGGTTAGTTTGTGTACGCCACTCACACGCAGGCTTTCTCCAATGTCAGTCTCTCGACACTTAACTCACATTTCTGACATCGGCGTGCGTCCTGTCATTCCATGGCATGATTGCGTTTGCGTGTGTTGGGGGTGGTGCTGTGGACGGCACAGTGAAGTGCTGCTTCTGCAAGCGCTCCAGAGAGGCGTGTGGGGGGGGGGGGAAACGGCGTGTTCGCATACATCCATAGCAGTGAGAGGGAGGTATAGAGGTTCAGCCTGAGGGCGTCAGGCCGGAAGGCACAACTGCCAATCGTCTTCTCCTTTCTTTAGTTTTTCTTGCTGTTGCGTCTCTTGGTTTTCTTCACCCTGGGGGAGAATCAATGGGATACGTGTGTTAGTGTGTGCATTCTTTAGATTGATATGATGGGAAAATAAAATTGAAATGTATTGATTTTGGAAATTTGTTTAAAGAATATTTCAAGGTGGATGTTGAAGAAGGCCTGAAGATGTTTATTTTGATTTTGTAAATATCTGAAACCTGGCATAAAAGTCTTTACGCTTGAAATCCAGCTTTATCGTTACATCTTAACAGGATATATGCATGTGCCATTAATTCAAGTGTGATCAAAACTACAAAAATACATTTCTTAACACCTGATTCTTTCTTCCACAAAAATGTTGCTTGCACTGTGTTTTCATAGTTCAATAATGTTTCCATGCAGCCATTATCAGCAACCTTGAGTCTCTGTAGCCTACTTTTACAGAACAGAGAACTGTAAAATATGCTCTAAACAAAGACATCTGCACTCCCTCTTCACATGGACTAAACTTGCTTAAGAGAATGTTTGCTTTTGCATAGATCATGCAGCATTGCCTATAAATATGTTCACGACCTGTTCATTTTCCTGCGATAAAATAAGTTGTTGCCGTCATGAAGATCTTTATCAGGCTGTTTAGGGTCTGGGAATTTCAGACTCAGTGAAAAGTTTAGCTTTTAAAAGCGAAACAGACCAGTATGGACAAAAGTTTAATATCAATATTTTGCTGGCACTTTTTCACAACTGCTTTTAACTGAATGCACATTTTTCTTGATGTCTTCAAGTGAGAACACACATGTTAAAGTCAGATGGACAAATGTCCTTTTATTTTTGGCTAAGAAGGATTTTCTGTTGGGAGAATACGTTCTTGGAATTATATGCAGAACTTTGATTTAACGAGGTCCATTCTTAATGGGACATTTTCCTTCAGTTGAAAGTGTATTTAGCTAAAAACGCAAGAACAAAAAGAAAACATTTAAAAAAACCTTTCATAGATAAATGCCTCTCGTTTTCAGAATTGTCTTTTCAACCAAAAACTACATGTTTTCACATTATTTTGATGAACTGTTAATCAAACCTTATTTCTTAATGAGGAGCAGCTGCATCTAAAGTGTGTAAATGGCATTCCTCTCATAAGTGAGAGAAAAAATAAAGGTTGTCATGTGTTGGTCTTAGTTGAATGTATAAGGCTGTTAGAGCTGCACAGGACTATAAAAACCGACCCCTTCTCTGTCCCCCCACTGTATGACTTTGTGACTTAATAAAAGGAAGCACTTGAGAATGATGACCACCCCGATGAGGAAATGTTTGTACAAGTTGTATTTTCCTCCTGCAGTGGTTCAGAGCAGAGGTTGTGGGTTGTATTTAACACTGTGAATAAACACGTTTAGCAATTTTGGTTAAGCGACTGGTTCTGGAGAACTGTCATATCACTGCAGTATGTTGGGAGGGAAGTATGGATCATGTAACCTATTATTTCAGAACATTGTAATGACAAAGACACTCAGAATATGAAGGCCAAAGTCTAATATGTTTAATGGACTAGTTGATTCTGTGCCACATGTCTGTTTTGATCTACTTCATCTTTCAACACAAACAGTTGCTGGAAGTTTAAAGCAACATCTCATAAATCTCCAGAAACATCTTTGTTGTCTGACTTCACTTTGTGCACTTAAAGTGTTTATGGCTTTTTTTGGGGAGCGGACATACAGCCGGGTGATGATCACCACCAGACAAGTAGGGAGCAGGTTTGTGGAGCACATGAATCAGCAACATCGCTCATTAAAAAGCGCGACTGCAATTTGAATTGTTTACTTTCAGAAAGTTGCTCCATCCATAATAACTGTTGCTGATGTGCAATTAGTGTTGATAATGAAGTGGAAAATTCCTCTTCGAAATAAAACAGTCCAAATATAATACGAGTAAACTGAGAACATTGAGGCGCTGCACATAAACAAAACAAGTTATTCTGGTCACTTGAATGAGAACTTTGTTGCAACTTTGTTTCTAAAAAAAAAGGTTAGTTAACACATGTGAGGATTTACCCAATGCTATTCAATTCAAGATAACTCAGGTCCTAACATCAACCATTTCAGCAATTCCAATTCAGAAACTGAGATTTTTCAGAAACTGTTTTTTTCTTTCTTGCTAAGACTGAACGCAAAGACGAAAAGTTCAATATTACATGTCTTTTCTTGAGAGTGATGCAATTCTGGGGAGGAGAGGAATATAATCTTACTTGTTAATGGCATTCTTTAAGTATTGCTGAAGCCACTTAGTCTCCGGGTTGATGCAAACCTCCCTGTTGCTCTTCAGCTTGGCACTGTGGGAAGAAAGAAGAGAGAAAATTGAATTAATCATAGTTGGATATTCGCACAGAGTTCCTGCAAATGCTCTCGTTTGGAAAACTCATGATAAATTTGTTTAGTTAAAGGGCTTGTATTCTGTCATTATTTCCATTAATTCTGAAGTTTCTGCCCTACTTTGATGTTTACGTGAAGTTGTATAAGCAGAGATAGAAAAAGAACGTTTTTGAATGCAACCCAAAGTCATGTCCAATAATTCAAACTCAAGGACGCCACTGAGGGATACTTACACCTCTGCGCCTGCTTTGTAGCTGATGGTGTACAGTGGAAGAGATAGTATCTGCTTTATTGGCAGTGTGCTCATTTATACTGTAATAAGACCTCTCAGTAACCCCAACGAAATGTGACTGGAATTGTGATTGAAGAAGCTCATTGAAGCCCCGGCCTCTTCCACTGTTTGTTTGTCAGATCTTGCACAGAACTGAAACCAAATATCACAGATTGTGATTTAGGTCCTGCTCTCGACTCTGTGTTTCATTACTTATGTTCTCCATATGCTCTGTTTACGTTTGCCAAAAGTGCCCTAAAGATAACAATACGTCTTCTGGCGGATCATGTTTTACAGTAAAGAGATATCCTAATGATTTTAAAGATTAAGCATCACCTAAAAGGGTTTGACTTAATCTCTGTCTAATAGACTTTAATAACCAGTTGAAACCAGAAGATTAGTACTTGGAAGGAGCCGTTAATTTAATGGCGAGCAAAAGATTAATTTGGGCACTTCTCATTTTAACATTAGTTTTATTTCTCCACAAAATCCCATTAATGCATGAATTACTGAAATAAAACATCTGCTTCATTTGAGGTTAGAGAGTTGCAGAATAACTCAGGAAGACCTCGGTGTCAAAATGAGCAATGATTAATACCTCATGATGATATCTGGTATGCTTTATGATGACAAAGCTCAGAACCCCTCATATGAGCGCTTGAGTACAAACAGAATCTCACAGAAAATCTGAAACTCAAAGCGTGAGTTTTATCACGCTTTTTATCATGTTGGGAAGATAACATGCTATCATGTTCGATACAGCGGGTGAAAATTCACAGCTCTCTGTTTCCACTCCTGTAAAGCTGGAAGGGAGTCGTGCACCACAGATCACACTGCACTCTACGGCATGTAAAGCTGTCTGTGCGCCACACAATAAACATCTTCCCACATCCCGCATGAGGACTGCCTCTGAGAAGGCTTTTCATTGACATTTGATTCATTTTCTGAGAAATCTCTCATCAAAGATGCACCGGTATTTGTTGCCCTGTTTGCAGAATGCAGTGTCCTGATATAAAGATGTTGTTTTAGGATACTGAAAAATATCCACCCCTTGATTTATTTGAGATATTATTCCTAGTGAGGTATACTGTAAAACAGCCTTTGCTGGTCTAAAGCAAAATTATCCAAAAGATCTGCATACATGATTTTCCATTGTTACTTTTGCTTTAGAAATCCAGTTTGTTGTATGGTTCCTCATTTGAATGTTAATTCTAAAATGTCCGAGCTAATTACAGTTCCATTCACACATCTAATAAGGAGGATTAAGTTACAGTGTTTCTTTCTATCAGTGATTCATTGATTCTGTTTTATTTTGGAGAAAAATATTTTATATGATTTCATATTAATGTGCTATTATATAAACTAATAAGGTTTCATTATGTCCTTATCAAGAAGGTAAACTGTTTTTATTCCAAGAAACCGGATTGACAAAACCAAAAAAAAAGTATTTTTCCACACTAAATTGTCTCATCAGAAATCATTCCTGATTCTTGCTTGATGAGTTGAGCTTTCTGATCAGGAAGCAGCTGCTGTAGAGAGGTCTGCAGGGCGGGTTTTTATATTTATACATATATTTTAATCTGGGCTGTTGGTGGTGAGGTGAGCCAGACATTTACAAGAGGATTTCTTCCTGTCAGTGACCGCTGGGTTTCAGATGTGATTGGGTGATTTGGGGGCCGGGCAGTGGGGTCTTGCTCCCTCCAAACATGTGGATATCACACCTGAGTGGCAAAAGGTCGTGTATGCAAGTTAACAGCTCAGAGTTGTCGTGCCTCACCGCTCCTCTGTCTCCTCCCTCCGTCTTTCTGTCACACAACTGTAAATTAAACACATTCCCGAGCACCTCAAACTGCTCTGGTCTTCTTTGCTTTCTGATTCAATTCATTGCCCCCCTGGTCTTGTTGCCTCTTTAGTCCATCTCCCCCTCTCTCTTTTGGCAACCCGCTAAGAGTCACACAAATTAGCAGATGAGCAAATGGCCTTAGAACTTAAAAGAGCTATTTGGGCGCATCGGTCCCCACGCATCAGCCCCAAATCCCCCCAAACTAACAAGCAAGTCCGGAGGCCAAGCAGCTCAGGAACTGGACCCGTGTTTGCTTTCCCTCCAGGCTTGTCCCCCTTCTGCCCCTCCTTTTTGTATTTTGGTAGGGGTTGCTGGCTCATCCGTTCAGAAGCTCTCCGCTGTTTTGATGTGTCTCCCTTCATCCTGTTTATCTGTCTGCTCCTCTGGATGACACACCAAGAGTCTAAACCCTAATTGATTTGGCTGGAATTTGGAGGGCCAGAGTTCCACAAGCAGCAGGTAGTAATTACTTCACAGCAAGTTAATACCAACAGCCTGCTGGGATGCATGCGGTGGGGGGATAGACTGAGGCTGCATGATGGGACCCGTGGTGAGGTGTTTTTTTTTTTTTTTTTTTGTGGGGGGGTTGGGATGGGAGGTGTTGAGTTACTGAGATTCTTTCATCTGCATCAATAGAGATATTAGTGCAGTGCTCCGCAAGCTCCTGCCTGAATGACTTCTTGACTCCTCTGTCAGTCTTCTGGAGGGGGTTTGAGAGTTTGTGGCCTGGTCGCTGCGATGTTTGTCCTTTCTGACCTTTTGCCATTCCTCCACCCCATCTATGCCCCCCCCCCCCCCCCCGTGCTTTTAGGTGAGGCCCCACATCCTTTCACCCTTTTGACTGTGGGATTCTGCCATCCAATTTTCTATAGCCAGCAATGGAATGAGACTTTTTTAAGTTAATATGTTCCAGACTAGCGATGCTCTGCTAAATGTTGCAGGTCAGTTGCAATCGGGACATTGGAAAAAAAGGGAATAAGGGACACAGGAGGTCAGCAGAAATACAAAGGTAATCACTTTGACCCTTAATTATTGCTTCCTTTGCAAAACATAAATGGCCCCCTCGAGCTCTGGCGAGCACTGCCTTCCTCTCTGCGAGTGGATTGTGTTATTTTAAACTCTCTCATTCAGGAAAAGATATTAACACTATACGTCACACATACCACACACAGCAGTATGTAAGTATCTGATCATTTTTGGCACCGTGTCAGTGGTGCTCTCTAATTCAATTAACGTGACAGAGAATTTGGTCGCTGACAGGAAATATCCATCATTCCTGAATGTGTGCACAAATCAGAGTTTACATTGTCTTGCATTAGCATAAAACTACATGGATTTTCATTAATAAATAGCATATTGATGTAATGTTTGTAATGTGAAAAACAGAATCAGAAAAGAAACTGAATTTGAAAGAAAATTCATTAAAAAGATAATTTTTACATATAGCCAAAAAAAACCAAACCCAAACTATTTTAGAGGCTAAGATGTACCTTCGACGGTTCATTTGATAATTCTCTTCAACAAAATAAGTAAAATTAATCTTGGTAAACTGAAATTTAAGGTTAAAAACAAAAAATCCACTCAAACAGCCCACATGAGTGACGGAATCGTTAAACAGCAATCAGATAATTACAGCAGGAAACACATTTCTTCGAGCTAATCACCCCTGTAATCTTAGACTCATTTACTTACATGACTTGGAAGGGGCAGTTGGGTGTGTGGAGAAACTTGAGCTCTTTGATGGAGCGCTGAGGAACGGTGTTGAGCGTAGAGCGACACCAACACCGCTCAACCAAACTGATGGGCTTTCCTGTGAACAACACAAGTGGAAATTCTTAACAACAAGCTCAAACTCACTGAACACTCAGACATTCATGTAGTAACCAACACTTGCTTGCAGCGGTCAAAAGCTGCACGCCTCAGACTTCAGAGTAGATTAATTTGTCCACCTCACAAAGAACTGCAATGCAAAGGTATTATAGCTGATGCAAAGCACTAACAAAAATGTAATTATTCCGCTCGCGAACAAAAAGAGCCTATTCATGGTCCAAATTCTGCACATTTAACGGATGCAATCTAATTTAAAGTGAGATTAAATGTGGTTCTCCACTTAGTGGAAAAAGCGTGTTAAATCTACTGTAACAAATCTTTAGAAAGCTCGGAATGTATGAGTTTACCTGCTATTTTACTGAACAACATATTCATTAAAAAGAGATTAGCCTTTTCTGACCACTATTTTTCTCTCAGTCACACACATACGCACTTGTAGAATTTCAGCTTTTCACTCCTGGTGAATTCAATGCAGCCTCTTTACAAGAGAAGGGTCCTTAACATTTTCAATATTCCTTTCCTTTATATAAGGGCAGTCTGCAGCTCAGATGGTTTCAGTGGCCTCTGAGGAAATCAGCTCACCCACATTCTTAAAATGCCCCCCCTGTTGAACTCAGAAGTGCACCAAAAGCCTTAAATGGGATTGTAGTTATGAAAACATGCTGATTGAATATGAGGTGAGGATAAAAAAATGACAAGGTCAATATCTTTATTCAAATGATAAGTTGCCAGTATAAAAATGCATTGCTGAAGCTTTTAAAACTGTTGTTTTATAGACATATGGCAGCAGAAATTGCTTACAATTTCCTACCCAGAAAAAAAGCAGATAACCATGAAATCAGGTGCACTGTGTGAAACACACACACACCTTTTCTGGGGGGGTTTTGTATTTTCCCAGTTTTCAAAGAAACACCAAATGCCCTTCCACAAATGGCTAAATCCTCAGTAATATCTGCCTAATGATACTCACCCATTCAGGCTCTTTTATCATGCAAACTAAGGGATTATTATGCAGCATGCAGCACCAGGGCCACAGGCAGGCATCCACTACTATCACCAACACACTCTTTATCCCTAATTAGAAACTAATTATAAAACAGCAAAGAGGAAAGACAAATACGCACATATAGACCTGACGCTTTAATGTGCAACCAGGCCTCTCACAGTGTCTGAAACAACATGCTTAGCATATCGCAGGCCAGGCGACTCAATGCCCCGTCTTGTTCCCGAATAAGGCGAACATGAGAGAGATTAATTTGGGGTCACCGTGAAGGCAGCAGTCAAGATTCAAGATTCAATATTCAAGATCCAATTAGATTATCATTATGAAACACAAGACTGCAAGCGGAAATTTTTGATACACATCTCATAAGCAATTTTATTCCTAAGTAGTTAACCAAATAAATCAAGAAAATTCTGTTATTTTTCAAATGCTCAAAAATCTGTACATGTATTTCACACTTCAAAACTACCAGTGGTCTATATGACTACTGCATTTACAGTTAAACTCCTATTTTTTATCCACAGTTTGATTCATAACTGAGAATCAGTCATGTGGGGAAAAAATTCTACAAGCCATACGGCCAAAACTAAAAAAAGAATAAAATCACATTATTCCTGTCTTGAGCAAGGAGAATAAATTCCCCCCAACATTTATCTTGATGTAACATGATAAACTTTATGTTTTGGAATAAATTCGTACTTTCTGCAAAGTAGTTTTCCATTTCTGAGAATCCATTAAAAATAACTGGAAACCAGAATATCCAAAAGCTATAGTTCATTAATTAGGCAACCATATTTTGGTCAAAAACCCATCTCCTTTCTCTGGAACAAATTCAATCAATGAACTATGAAACCTTCAAAATTGCAGTGAATACAACCATCCAACTATGTGAAAAGTTAAACCTTAAAAAAAGATTAGAAGAGGCTATAGAGATTCTTCCACATTTACTTCAGACATTTTTTCTAAATAGGTCCAGGAAAGAGAAAGCAGCAATTCAGTTTATAAAAGAAAGTGATCAAATATCTAAGCGTCAGCATCCACAAGATTTCCTCTTCTGTGGCGGTTTTTCAGTAATATGCATTTCATCCATTTCAACAGTTCCCTGTTCTGACCCCCCCTGGACTCACCCTCGGAGGCTGGAACATGTGTGGCCACGACCAGCAGAGCCATCAGAGCCAGCAGCTTGACATCCATGGTGGCGGGCCAACGGGCTGCAGGAGGGCTGCTTTCTTTCTCTGTTACAATCCAGCGCACGAATGTGGCCGGCAGCTCTGCTCTGCGCTGTGTTAAGGCTTTCTGAAGGGGAGGGAGAGTGAGTGTGAGAGCAGAGGGAGGGAGTCCCACTTTCTCAGGATGGGAAGGGGAGGGGGTCCCAGCGTGAGAGGAGAGGAGGTGAGAGGGAGGGAGAAGCGACAAGTCAGCAGAGACTTCCTTGATTGTAAAACGCGCTGGCTCGGAGTCAAGGAGAAAGTCTGAGGGGCAGCTTTCTCTCCCTCCGCAGCATCTTCTCTCATTTTGTCATTGTCTGACTTTTTTTTGTTGTTTTTCATTCTTTTTAGTTTTGCTTTAATAGCATTCTTCTCTGTCTTATTCATCAATTTCTCTTCAGCTCAGTCTTTCTATCCTCTTAAAACACACACACACACACACACACACACACACACACACACACACACAC